CCAACTCTGCTGACTGAAGCACCCCTGAATCCCAAAGCCAACCGTGAGAAAATGACACAGGTGAGCCACAGTAAAGCTATGGAATTGTCCAACCTTTTCATTCAGCAGGATGTGAATGTCATCCTTCCAGTCAGTCGTGCTGTCCAGCAGTCTGTCTCTCTCAGTTGTGGGAGATGGAAAGCACACAGCCACCACCTGTCATATTTACATATTATTACATATAGTTTAGAAAATCACTGTATCTGACTATCTCCAGTCTGTCCAAACTTTGTAATCTTAATTTATTTTTATGCCCAGGCCTATTACAAAATTATCTTTGATATGTGCATGAGGCTATATTAATATAATAAAAATATAGGCCAAATACAGGGAGATACCTTACAGGACAAATATTTTTGGATTTAGATTTTGTATTTTCCTTTCTTGTTTTTACCAAGCATAGAGAAATATCAACATCTTGCATTCTACCTCTCTTTCAGTAAATTGCTTCAACTAAGCTATACCCTCTAGTGTAAAGACAATTATTTTAATTGCATTTCAGATCATGTTTGAGACGTTCAACGTGCCAGCCATGTATGTAGCTATTCAAGCCGTTCTGTCCCTCTATGCCTCTGGACGTACCACAGGTAAGCCCCAGGGGAACGTGGCACAGGTGTTTGCAATGGTTCCGTGGGGAGGATGGCGATGATCCGTGTGTTACCCTCCCAAAGGGATCGTGCTTGACTCTGGGGACGGCGTCACCCACAACGTGCCCATCTACGAGGGCTACGCCCTGCCACACGCCATCATGCGCCTGGACCTGGCTGGCCGCGACCTCACCGACTACCTCATGAAAATCCTGACGGAGCGCGGCTACTCCTTCGTCACCACCGGTAAGGACACGCCGAAACAGAGCCTTGTTCAGTGGTTCTGCAGTTGAATAGGCATGGGAAGGTCTCCAACATGAAAGCCCCTTGAAAAGCTAGCAGAGGGTTTGTTTAAAATAGGGGGAGGGTGTTGGAGGGTGAAAGGGAACAAGTAGTCAACATGTCTGGGTCCTTCCTGTATGCCATTTTAAAGATTGAATCCTCCTTACAGCGGAGCGTGAAATTGTCCGTGACATCAAGGAAAAGCTCTGTTACGTGGCCCTGGACTTTGAAAATGAGATGGCCACTGCTGCATCTTCCTCGTCTCTGGAAAAAAGCTACGAGCTTCCTGATGGTCAGGTGATCACCATTGGGAATGAACGCTTTCGGTGCCCAGAGACGCTCTTCCAGCCTTCTTTCATTGGTGGGTTCAGTGGCTGTTCTGTCTTGGGAAACTGTACAGAAATACCAAGTCCCTATTTCCTTTTGCTTGTGCTCCATTACTAACTCACCCACAGCTATGCATGTGTCCCAGCACCCATTATAAAACAATCTTTTAGAACAGGTCTATTAATGTGGTGGGAAGAACTTCACATTAAACAATTAGCCAAAATGCTTTCCCAAAATAAACCCACAATGTTTATTCCTGCCTTCTGGCATTGGGCCTGTATCATTTTGTATGTTTGAATGTGCTTGCCAGGAGTGGGAAGAGGTGGGAGGGGCATGCAGGCAGCAAGACCCACTTTTATTTTTCCAAAAGACTGCTCCAAATCCTGAATCCATGGTTCATTGCCTTTTCGGAGCAAAGTCAAGATGATGCCATGCTAATCAACATCCATGAAGGCAGATTTGCAACTAGGTCACACAGAAATCCAGAGTCAGTTCTGCCAATAAGCAGAATTTCAACTCAGAGATAAAGCAGTTGCATGCCTAGAGGTATTAGGACATATTTTGACTGTTCTGTCTCTGAGTTGACTTAATTTGAAAAGAAAAAAAAAGGAAAAAAAAGAGAACAAATTATTCCAAGACCATATAAGGAATTCTTAGGACAATTGAGATTGCCTGCAGAAGGCTATTGGAAACTTTGCTATTCCACACCCCCAACTTTCTTTTTTAGGAGGACTTGTGTGTAAGGGGGAGAGGAGGACTGTACATGAAGGAACTCTTAAGCAAATAATTTAGGCAACTGCAAAATGACTTTCCAGATTTCCAAAGCTCTGAGACTGATGTCCTCCAAAGAATCACTAAACAGCATGTCAGTTCTGCATTAACAACTTTAAGTCTCTGTATGGAGTTGCTTCCTCATTGTTCTTCTGTACCTTCCCCAGGCATGGAGTCTGCTGGCATTCATGAAACCACTTACAACAGCATCATGAAATGTGACATAGACATCAGAAAGGATCTTTATGCCAACAATGTGCTGTCTGGAGGCACCACAATGTACCCGGGAATTGCAGACAGGATGCAGAAGGAAATAACTGCCCTGGCTCCTAGCACCATGAAGATCAAGGTATGTATGGTGCAATCTTTGTAGATTATATGAGCTGGCATTTACAAAGTCCTCAAAGATCTAATGAAACATGCAACACCTTACAAAGTGAGTGCTTTTAACACATTCTGAATCACATCTGGAGTACCTAGCAAATAATCACAAACTGGTAACTTTGGTGCGGGAAAAAGAGAGCTTTCTCTCATTTCCTTGTTCATGCTGATTTCAGTCAAATGTCCTAATGTGGCCAAAGAACAGCATATAAATATACAGGAATATAAATGTTCCTCTGGGGCTCTATGTGAGCTTCTTCAGCCCTTCTAGTCTGATGGATGTGGAAGAGAGGAAATGCTGGTTTTGTCTTCGGATTACAAGTTTGAAAGAGACCCTGACAAATTAATCTTTGTTCTGCTGCTTCAAGTCTTCTGTTTTTTCCTTTACAAACATTTTATCAGCTATACCAAAAGGAGTGCTCCATAGGTCATTGATTTTTTTTCAAGCCCACCTAGACTGTCATTATGTTTCCAGAGCAATTATCTCCCCTTTTCTCATATATGCTCAGGAGTACATGAGTGCACCAGGGACAGGGGGCACTGAGGGTTGAGTCAGGCAGAGAATTTGAGGGTATAGATTTATATAACCAATTCTAAACTTTGCTGCTTGCAGCAATGGATAGCACTAGCACATAGGTGCAGTGTTTTTTAATACCACAGATCACTGCTTTAGTATTTTTGTATAAAAATGCATTTTATTCATAGTAGACAGTCGTACTTAATGTTATATTTCTTAAACAGATCATTGCTCCTCCTGAACGCAAGTACTCGGTCTGGATTGGAGGCTCTATCCTTGCTTCCCTCTCTACTTTCCAGCAGATGTGGATCAGCAAACAGGAATATGATGAAGCTGGTCCATCCATTGTTCACCGCAAATGCTTTTAAATTGCTTTTTCTTTATAGCCTTAGTGTGAATGTATTCAGGGAAGTACATTCTTATAATTTCATTCCATAAATCCTTCATCGTAATTAATCTAATTGATTGGATACTGTGTATTTCTTAAAATAAATTTTAAATATGCTATGAAATTGCTGCTCCTATTTAAAACAAAAACAAAAGCCATGCCATGAGTGTGTGGAGATGCCATTACAGCTGGCTTGAGGCTCCATCTTGTGACATGAATTTATTATTACACTCCACTGGGCTTAACAGAAATGGTGGTACCTTTAGCTCGATGATGCCAATGCCTGAAGATGCTCACCTGTCAGGCTGCATGTTCTCAAAGTTTAGCCTCAGAACACATTTTAATCTGCAGAGAGAACCAGCCATGGTTCTTACAAAGTTCTAGGCAGTACCAAAGGAGCATGGCATCTGTTCAGTATCAGGAATACCATGTTCAATATCATGGGCACGCTGCTTTGCATCTGCTCTATCCAGAAACATTATCTATCCACATCACTTCTTACTACCCAGCTCTCATGCTGGAAAAGCTAATTTCTTACAGTTCAGGGCCCAGGGGTGTATGATATGTACCACAACAATCCTGTGTTTTCTTTAAAGAAATAAAACCTGTTCCTTTGGGAGCATATCTAAACACTAATAGTAGGTCAAACGTATGACTTTTCTATTGTATGCCCTCAGGATGAGTGCAGCCTATTATTTTTATTTTGTGATTTCTAGCAAGATCTAAAGGGTAATTAAGCTGGCTTAATATACTTTCTTTTCAGAACTTTTTTTTAAAGGGGGGAGTAATGTGTTCAAAGCAGCTAAAATAATTTTGACAATTTTCTTTTTCTGTGATTTTTCTGATTCCATTTATAATCTTAAACACGTCAGCTAGAAGTATATGCTTAGAAGCTGAAGCCAGTAATACTGTCTTAGAAGTACATATATATATATATATATATATGAATAAAGAATTCACTGAGACAGACCTGGAAAAGGTCACTTCTAAGGAGCTTGCTCCAATCTGTATTCATTAGAGTTCAGGATAAAGGATGCTATTTATTTTTCTTAACCTATTTTCCTCTCTCAACTCAATAGTTTACCTCACTTGCCTGTTACTTGTTACGTTTCAAACTGTAAGCTCTTTGCAACAGCACCTGTTATTACCATGTCTTCATAACCCCAGGGTTTCAGATCTTGTCCATCTTCTGCCTGTTCACACATGTTGCAAACCTCTTTGTACTAACCTTATTACTTAAAGTAAAGGTCCTCTAGATTCTTGGAACAATTACTAAATAAACTCTTGTAAAAGCAAATAACTTTGTATGGCTCTTTCTTCTAACTCTGTCTAGATCTTTTTGTCTAACTCCAGATAGATTGAGGAAATCCTTTTCAGGATAAGAAGTGTCCTTCAATTTAAAGTCTCTACTGACAGGTTTCTGGAGAAGACACATTTCTCCAAGGGACTCTGATGCATCCCTACTATCCCAAAATGGTGAGGATCAGCTCTCAGGTAAAGGATTTGGATATTTCTACGTATCTTCTGCTTAATAGCTGAAACTTGAGCTATAGAAGTTGGACAGTAGAAAAAGATGGAAAAAAATCACCTGATTGATTTGCCTCTACTACATATAAAAAGCCAACCACTGTTAAAAATACCTAATTCTCAGTAGGCAATTAATGCAAAAAAGTGACAAAATAAACATTACTTATTTCAACACAGTTACTGTAGTTTGAAGTTCATTTTATTGTTGTGTTTTATGGGTGAGATTTGTTTACAGATTCAGGGTTAATGCCACTGAACTCCATCTTAACAGAGCAACAAAATAACTCCAAAACAGGCTAGAGCAATAAATATCAAACCATTCAATCTAAAATGTATAAATATAAAAGTAATTTCTGAAAATGTAGGAAAAAACAAGAATCCATTTTTCTCTTTTGGCCTTTTGTAGAGTACATTGTTGTGGTCCATCCGTATCACCTCAGATCCAGCACGATTATCTTTATGTCTTTCCCAACCACATGGGTACATGGCTGCAGGAGAAGTCAACCCATTACTCTCACAAATCTCAGTAAAATACCCAGTAACTTCATCCATTAACTACATATGTAAAAGACCACTGAAAAGAACCTACATGGAGCAAAACATCTTAACTTTTTTCAGAGTTGGACTATCTTCTCATTATCCCTACACACAGTGATGAAAGAAGAGAACAAACCAAAAAACTCTGACCTCTCCTTTTGAGGCCTAATGCTGACATTCAGAGACCCTGACACCACATAATTTCCAATGTCTCTCAGCATGACTTCTCTGTATTGGATCATTTCATTTTAATCTATAGGAGATGCTTCTGTATTTGAAGTGAACCTCATTGAAAAAACCAAACCCTTAATTATTCAAAGGTAAAGGCTCTTATCAGAAATGCCAGTGTTGGCTGGAAGACAGTTCTGGCTGACTGTACTGCTCAGCCACACACACACACCATTATGCTGTTGAAACATCAAAAGATACACCAGTTACAGAGAAATGTTCAGAGAAGCCAGGGCAAACTTTTAGCAATGAAGGAAACGGGGCTTAACCTACTTCCAGCTGTACTTTAAAGCAGCTGGGATGTTTTGCTGGGGCACCAAAATTGGAGAGATGAACTGATTCATTGCTTAAAAACTGAAGAGCTCAAGAGCAACTCCCATTTGAAAATGTGGGTTTTGCTCCTTCTGAAAGCAGGTTAAAGGGGTTACTGATAGTAACTAACCACCATCTAAATGGCAGCTTGTAACACTCACCTAATGGCTGCTTAAGTAGTCTCCTGATGTCTACCTTGGTCAGTGAACTAAGAGTAATGAATTAGTAAAACAGGGGGAAAAGTATTAAGAAATATAATCTCAGTTTCTGTTTGCAGCAGAACCATGGTCAAGAGTTTGAATAGCAAAAACAGTGTTGAATCATATACTTACATTAAATAACCTAGGGTCCTTTGTATGAGGATGGAATCCCTTCTTTTTACAAGCAGAAACTTCTAGCATGCCAGCATTAGTCAGTCTGAAGATGCCAGTGCTGAAAAGCAGAACATGAAACTCCTGTTACACTCTGCTCCCATTTTACACATCCAAGGTTTCACACACAAATTGCTTTGCTTAAAAGAAGAACAACAGGAAGGTGCTTGGTGACCTTCAATACACAGGAGCCCCAGCTGAGCTGGGTTTTTAAAGCTGTTTTAAATCAAGGGGAGTTGTGTTCCTGTAAAGGAAGAGATGATGAGGGGAAGGGGACAAAAAGGATCCCAATGCTGGTGCTGTTCCTGTTGGGCAGGTTAGGTACTGAGGGATAAGGCTGGTTCACACAGGAACAAATGCAAACCAGAAACTTGCATGTTCTGGATTGCATTTCACCCAGGACAACTTAAAAGATGCCAGCCTTTAAACCAGCTGTGTAAATTACTAGTAGGAGTACATCCTCCCCACTCTTAGGTAATCACACAAAGCATTAGAAAATGCACTGCTGCAACTCCTTAGGTATTGAATAAAATGTTACAATCCCATCCCTCTGCAAAGAGAACCTATTACCTACAGGGCAGCACCTGACCATATAAATGTTACAGGGTGTCAGCATCAACTGTGAGAGAGGCTTGTGAGAGCAGAAATTTGGAAAGGCGTGCAGGCATGCTCAGGGTTAGAAATGCTGGTGCTTGTGCCCTTGCCTCTCAGTCTGTGTTCACAGCTCTGCTACCTGAAGGGCCCATTTAGGAAGTCAGACAACCAGGACAGGATTCACATCTACTGAGGCAGAAGGCCAGCAGGAAAGGCTGAAGAAATGCACACTCTAAAGAATGGAGTTAGCCCTGGCAACCTGAAATGCCAGGCACACCAAAGGAGAATCACAAATTTGTTGAGGTTGGAAGGAACTTCTGAAGACTGTCTGGTCCAGTCCCCCTGCTCTGGCAGAATCACCTTGAGCAGGCTGCCAGGACCATGTCCAGTCACGTTTTGCATCTCTCCAAGGATGCAGACTTCATGACATCTCTGGGAAACCTGTTCCATTACAAACCTTCACATTAAAATTTGCACTATTCTAGTTTTTTTCCAGATACATAGTTTGTAAATCATTAAATTCAAAAATAGATCCTTGTTATCAAAAAAGGGAATTTTACCCTTCTGCTTTGCAAACTGCAGTTTTCACATCATTCTAGAGAAATAAGCCTAGCCTCCCTCCACACTCCTAAGCAGACAGAATGAAGACAGATCTGTGGTAGGGCATTGCCTATGAGTATTCCAGAAGAATAGCTCCTGTAATTATTACTTTGTTGAGCAGAATATATAAAAAATAAAATTTAAAACCTGGGTCTGTGGAGGGAGGAGGAGAGAAACAATACTGTGCATAGAGACTGACTGAAATGCGAGTCTAGGCTACTTGCAGAAAACAAAGTCACAACACAATGTTCATGCCCTTCATCTGAGTTGACATGTACCCTTTGCATTTGATCAGATTTTATGACAAGAAGCATGGAAAAATACCAAAATATTACTTAAAAATCTGAACTTACTCATTATGCTTTGGTGAACAAACAATTGCAATGGCCTCTGGCAACATCAGCTGATAAGAACAATGAGTATGGAGATCAACACTGGATAAGAATGCAGTTTGTGTTGGATGTGTCTACAAAAAAGAAAGGGAAAACTCAATATCATGAAATATTTCTTAAAGGTCAAGGTCTACATACATTTAAGAAGGAAAAATAATTTGTTATGAGTGAAAGCATCAGTACTTCCCCAGGCTGGTTTCTAAAGTTCTTCTTAGCCCAGGGTCTATATTGTTCTACACTGTTCAGCCTGGAGAAAAGAAGGCTTTTCAGGATGAGATTCTCGGAGGCATGTTCACAATCAGATATACAAGCAATTTTCTAATGATAGGGAGGAAAAGGTGGAATGAAGAAGCACAAGACAAATGGAAATTACTTAATTGTGTAAAATCCCTAAGAGAAAAATTAATATAAACTTTAAACAACACAATGCACCCCTCCTTGACTTTTGAATATGGCATTAGAAAGTAATAAAATACCCCAAATCAACATAAAAAAAAAGTTGCTCCAGCAAAAGTAGGCCCATTGTGTCAACAGGATGCCTCAATTGCATTAAGGAGTTCTCTGTGGAGAACACAAGTGCTTATTTACCTCACTGCAATTTGAATTCAGAAAGCAAATTTGTATTACTTCAGTTGTTTCTTTCTTTTGTTTTTTTACATAGTATGTAGAGTCAATATAAGAAAACCAGAATATGAGTCATACATACATGGATCCAACCCAAAGTGAGGAGATCATACTGATCCTGAATACCAAATAATTCTTCCACATTCTCCATGTCACAGTAGTCTGGTCCTGCAGTTTGCTTTGGCACTATTACATGTGTAATAGTAAATTCATTATGAGTCTGCAAAACAAACATTGACTTAGGGTGGAACAGACTGCCTAAGGAAGAAATGCTGAATCAAAATCTGAAAGATGTCAGCTAACAAAACAGTACAGCTCCACTGCTTCCAGCTCCACTGATCCCAGTGCAGCTCTACCAACACACTGCACCTAAAAATATGCCTTAGCATTTTGTATGAAAGCATACAGGGTAGTATTGGTCACAACAAAAGACTGTTGTATTGAACTGCTCTCAGTGATCAGTGTGAAAAGACTGTCCTTTAAAATAATTAAAAACACATACAAGAGCTTTGAGAAAACTATCATGATTTTCTGTGAAACAAGACTAATACTGCTGTTCTTTCCCTTCATGCAGTTCAAATACACTTGGGATCATCTAAAATTCTTCATGTCAGCATCAGCCATGCCATCTTTCCCTGCTCTCAAAGGACATTAAGTGTAATCTAGGTCAAAGGAAAAAAAACAGCTTGAAAATCAAATGTTTACAGCTTGATGGAGGGATTTCTGTTTTGTTGTGCCACTATTCATTTGATGACTCCAGTGGATTCTGGCAGTCTTTATATTTCATTGTCCTGTAACTAAACCTCACTTATCTTAGATGAATGCCAGAGAAAGTACTCGAAAAAGCCTGCATTGTACAACATGCTGAAAAACTTGCTAGGCTTTACAGCAACACAGCAGCATACTTTGAGCAGATGTTTCCCCAGTAAAGCAAGCCCACAGTGCTGAAATGACCACTCAGGTTATAATATGAAGTTCATTACATGGAAGGCTAACCATTTATATCTGCTTTTGCTCTGAAATCAATACATCACAGGATATTACAGCACTATCAAGCATGTCTTCCCCATAAAAATATGAGGCTTAAACTGTACCAGTTTTCCACAGAGAATTCCACATGTCTCTATTCCTCTTACTGTATTTGCCTCTGCCAGCAGCAGAAATTTGTGACAGAGATCCCTGGGCAAAATGACACCTCTGAGTGCTTCGGCCAATTGAGCTAACCAAGAATAAAAAAAAAAAAAAAAAAAAAAAAAAAAGAGAGAAAGAGAGATAAAAAGGCATTTACAGCTAGCAGCTAACACAACGAAGATCCCTAAAATAAGGAAATATACACAGTGTATTACACTATATTACCACAAGTGGAAGTATTATACTTACCACATCATAGACTTCTAATGAGAATAAATCTACAGAACAAACACTTCATCTAAATTGAAGTCACCAACCCACAAGATACACTCACTTGCCCATCCCTGAGGTGACAGCTGGGACCATCTCCCAGGCCAAGGCTTTCCAGGGGGAACCACTGCAGGTTCTGTTTCTGGTCCCTTGAAGCCTATGGCAAGATTCAGACTTCATTTCACAGGAACACTAAATCTCAATCTCTGTATCCATCCATTGGTACTCAACTGGAAAATGTGAAACTCTGTAACTGTCCTCTTAAAATGAAGAAACTATAAGGAACTGCTGTGTTAGCACAAACCTGTCCATGGTTATTTCAGTATGGGCATCCTCACAGTGAATAAAGACATATGCAGGTAGACAAAATAAAATAGGGAAAAAAGAAATGTGTGCACTTACTCTGAACAGCACTTAGAGTAGCTGCTGGCTTTAAGACCCGTTCCATGGGCGGCGAATGTCCAGCACAGCCAGAGGTGCCGCGCCTCTCCTTTTTCTCCAGCAGTGCTGCAGATAAGGAGCTGTTCTCTGGTACAGAAACACAAGACAGCATACTTCCATCTATCTGTTCAGACATAACCACACTCTCTTTGATTTTCTGATCTCGAGCCAGCTCTTGCTTCTTAAGTTGATCCTCAAAGAACTGAAACTGCTCTGATTCGAGCTGCTGCTGCCGCATGTGTGCGATTCGTTTCTTCTCTGCCTCTATTAGCTTTTGGTGCTCCAGTTTCTTCAGAAATTCAGTTTTACATTTGTTCTGAAACATACACAACATAGTGACATTCTCAGAACGCCAAAAATGCTAGGAAAAATTGAAGGAAAGGAGTAATCTAACAGTTCAATAAAACCATAAAATCCTGTCATTAAAAAGGAACTCTTTTGGAACCTGGTTACTGAACTGGAAAATAAAACTATATCCCCAAAGGTAGGATGGAAAACATAGCATTGATGGATGGAACAAAAAAGATGTTTCTCAGATGCTTTTTCCAAGACAAGGTTTTAAGCTATAGATTCTGTTTTCAGTGGCTTCAATCTCAATTCAAAGTAGAGCACATTTGGAGCCAAGGAATCTTTTCCACTTATTGACAAACTCATACTCAATTTCATTCTCTTTATAAGACTGAATCAGAGTATACCAAAAACATATTTGGATCTTTGTAGACACTTATTAAGCAAATATAGCAGCACATGTATTTCCTAGCACACATTTGCATTACCTATTTTTAAATGACCAGCTGATTCTCAAGAAGAAATGAAAAGTCATTCCTAAGCAGCTCAGGAAATTATTAGCTTTTTGTAAAATTGGCATTTTACTGCTTAATTTTCAAGTTTTATATGGCAGAAAAATATTCATGTCAACATTTATTATTCATATAAAACTTACTTTGTGTTGCATGTATTCTTGATATTCTAAGTTATATTTTTTTAAAAGATCTCTTTTCAGTTCGTCTGTCCGTGGGAATGCAACCTCCTTCAATTTCTTTGAGGTGGGATGGGGAAAAAGATAAATAAATTTACTTTTCACTTTTTAAAAGAGCCACCTGAAAAACAAACTCAGCTGTAACATAGATATTTTTAAAATATAAAACAGAAAAAAACCCTGCTCTTCTCACAGGAAAAAAAAAAAGCAAAAGATAAAAACACACTATCATCAGTTTATGAAACTTCTATAGTACATTGCTTTCAATAAAATTATTGATTACATTAGTGAAACATGTGACATGGCTGCTTCTTATCTCAAGGAAAGATTAGTCCTTTTAGTAGAAGTCTGTTATCTCTGTCTTGTTTAATAGGAGTGTGATGACTAATGTTTTTGTTGTGGGCGTAATTCTTAAAAAAATGCTAAGACCAACTTAGAGAGTTTCAGGTAGGATCACTGCATTTTTCTCTGGAACTTCCCAGTCAGAAATATGTCTGAATATGCCCATTTCCAAGTGGGAAAAAAAAAAGGTTCTTTTTAAGAGATAGTTATACCTGTAGCTTTCTGTCACAGACCCAGCAAAACAACATTTCTTATAATACCAATAGAACCAATACCCCATGCTTTCTACTCATGTGAAGGCTACTACAAAATAATTCAGAGGCTGTAGTCAAGGGAGGAAAAGCAACCATGTGCTTAAATCCTGCTGAGTGCCACAGGAGAAAGCAATGTTAGATGCCCTTTCTCAGTAGGGATGCTCTCCTAGTGGACCACAGTCAGAACTTTGGCATGGATTGTTTTGGTTTTGAGTAAAACATTCAGTTTAACAGTAGAGAATGCAAGCAAACATGGGGGCACAGAGCAAGAGACACTCATGGTCCTACCAGCAACTCTCACTGGGCAGTTCCAGCTGTTTTAAGTTCAGTATAAGGCTACACTTAAAATTTATTTAGGCTTTATTTCCTAGAGGGAAAAAAAAAACAAAAGTAAAACTATTTTGAATGGAAATGGAGAGAAAAAAATCTGGTAAAAACTAAGTAAATACATATATGGTAATAAAGAAAAAAATATACTTTACTTATTTAGCAGAGTAAGCAAATACTGCACAGGCACCAGTAATGCCACACATTTCTCCTTCTGTTTGCAATAGTCAGTTTGGACCATTATCCATTCACATAATTGGGACCAGAATCAAGCTAAGTACTGTCAACATATGCATTTTTAATATGCAAACATTCAGAAATAGATGTACCTGGGCTCCCAACAACCTACCAACTTATTCAGACCATTCTCATTCAAATTTTAGATCAATAATTTAATTTCCAAAATAAAACATGTATGAGTAGTGGAGAAAAGTATCAGAAATTGAAGCTGTGATGGCTGCTATGGGTGCTCTGGGGAAAAAGAAGCTATGGCCTATATGGGCTGGGAAAAATGAAGAGGTTCTGAGTAAAACATTTCATAAAGACCAGGAAACCATAAGCCTACCTTAATAATATCTTGTTTTTCTGGTACTGCACATTGGTGATAGTCTCGGTGACTGGGCAGCTTTTCTACAAACAACCTAGAAAATTAAACATGCATGTGTTTAGTAGAAGAATATCCATAATAGCTCTCATGTTGGCAGAAAAATCAGTTTCACATAACTGCTAAACACTGAATTCCAGATGACTTGGACCAGGGTTCTGCACACATGTTTAAATTAACACATTATGGTATTGACTTGTATGGGACACACAGAATAAGGACAGAAGATTATTTTCCACATCTGATATATTTTGGTTTCCATTAGTACTGGGTTAAGTTAAACAAAAAGCAAAGCCACTCTCCACTCTAGTCAGTGCTAGTAAATCCTGTTTCTACTCTCTTTATCTGTTCTTAGCCAACACGCTGACTCTCCAATGGAAGACAGGAATGCAACACTGACTGTCATTAAAGCAGGTATTTTTACCAGACCAAGCTGCACAGATAAATTATGGCAACGCTCAGCTGCAAAGAGTTTGTAATGCACAGCTCCCATCATTCTTTCAGCAATTTGCACAATATTCACCTCCAGAACCTCTTTTTATAGAGATAGATGCATTTGAAAACAGGTGGACTAAGAAAGGCTTGGTCTATTTTTCAGAGTATGAAGAAAATAAGGAGGGAGGAAAGATGTTTCCTTTACAAAAAATTTAAAATATGCACTGTAAAAAAAACCCCAAACCTTTCTGAAGCAATAAAACAAACCAATCAATCCCACAGCAAAACTAGCTAGGTTAAAAGTTTAAATCTGCCAGGGATATATTTTTCAGCTGTCTATTTTGAGAGTTGTAATGAAAGCTGGCCAGATTTGTTCTTTTGTGGTAAGGAGAATAATCATGAACATACATTGTAGATTTTGCATTTATTCCTGTAAGAAACAATAAATTATAGTTAATCCTTCTGAGAGGGGAAAAAGTAAAATTAAAGCAAGAAAACACTTTTCCCATGTTTTTTTAATTATGGTGCAATACTACCATCCTTAAGATCGGCAGATGCTCATAGGACATAACTGCTAAAGGCTTAGAAATCTTACTTAAACATTTCTACTAAAGTAAAAAAAATTATTTAACCAACACTCTGACATATAAAGAATATGGGGGCAACAGTGCTCATGGTATGGCCTGGCAGAGTAAACTCAAACCTCTGTTAGGTTAATTTGCTAATAAAGTCAAAAATTTTGTTTAACCAACATGCTGACATATAAAGAATATGGGGGTAACAGTGTCATGGTATGGCCTGGCAGAGTAAACTCAAACCTCTGTTAGGTTAATTCATGCCTGGCAGTTCACACGTGGATAGGACAACCCCATGAAAAGGTGGCAGGAAGTTTTTACAAATCTCACGCTCAGTGGAAAATATCTCCAGAGAACAGAGCTGTTCTGCAAGAACACACTAAACAAATTTCTCCTTATCTAAAGGGGTTCTCAGGGCAGCTCTGCATTTCATTCACTCAGAATTACAAGCTGTAAAGGCTGATGATGTGCTCCCTTACGTGATGAACTTGTTGTAGAAGACGAAGGCGTTCTCGAGGTTGCCCTCCTCCATGTAGACGGCGGCCATGCGCTCCATCTCCACCCCCGAGCGGAAGTACCGCCGCGGGGTGATGTCCTCGTTGATGCTGATGTTGCTGCCCAGCTTGCTCAGGGCACGCACCCGCTCCTCCGGGCTCACTGAGATGTCTGTGTGGTCAGGAATAGCCACCAGCTTTCTCTGGAAATGAACAGTCTTGTTAGCTAAGAGAATATTCCGTTTCACTTTCAGTAAGTGGTCTCAGTCAAGAAGCTCGAAGGAAATATTCAGCTAGCTTTTTCTGAAAGTAGGCATTGGTTTCTCTACCTCTAGCCACAGCTGAAACATTACAACATTTTTCTCAATTGCAAGTAAATTGTGATCAAAAAGAAAAGTGATTTTATTCCCTCCAAAAACAGCAGCAAAAAGGATAAAATTAGGAAAATACTTGTGGGAAAAAAATTAAGTAAATTACTGTAGAAATTACCAAAGGCAGTATAAAGTGTGTTCTCTTTAAAAGCCCACACACATGAATTCTACAAGGTTCTATCTTAAGTTACTGAAATAATTTGATGGATGTCCTGAACACTCCGACTCCTATTACATGAGGTATAGCATTTGACTGCTAGAAATAGTTCAGGAAACAAAGAGCAATAAGTTCCTCTGGTGAGTCAACAGTTCACTTCAAATATTAATTTCCAGTTTTAAATGAGGCAGTTAAAGACTAAGAAGTTCAAACTAATTACTGAAGAAGAACCATATCTGCTTATTATGGTCATTACCTTCCTGGTAATTAATAAATAAATAAATGGCTACTGTAAGTTGTTTCCCTCTTACTTTGATGAAAGTTTTTACTCTTTCTATTCAAAATGCTCATTTCAACTTCTTAAAACTCTGGTTGGTGACACTCCATAAATCACCCATACAGAAATATAATAAATTCCAACAAAGCTTTCAGGCAGCATGCAGGAAAACACCCATGGAGCTGAGAGCCACCACTGCTAAATCGCTCTCTTGAAATTTTTCCTAATTGAAAGAAAAGTTGCTCAGACACTGAAACATTTTTCTGTAATACATACCAATGAGCTGACAGTGAATGGCTGCTCCATGTTGTTGTCTGCCTGCAAACCAAGGAGATTGCTGTTTTCCTCCAAAGTCTCCATCTGACTGAAAGGCCAGTACCAATCCTGAGCTCAGTATTTGCCACCAGATGTCTCAGGGTTTAATAGCCCAAGGGAAACTGGAATACAGATATGCTGATTGTGGTTGTGTGCTGGAAAAAATAAGTCATTCAGATTAGAAATATATTCAAATGTCACATAACTTTGCATGCCAGCAGCCACTCATTACTTTGGTGGCACAGTACTTATACATTTAATAATAATTTAAAACTTACCAGGTGTCTAGAATTTAAATTGGGAATGCATAAGGGCTTATAGTGCAGTTGTGAACTAGTTGACCTGTACTAAGGTTATTTCAGCAGATTTCAACACAATAAATTATTTTTACAATTTTTATAGCAACTTAAAAACTCACTAACTTTCAAATATTAAGTGAAAAACACAGAAGTTTGAGGATTTAGAATCTGTGCTTCCTTGAGCATATGTTTACAAACATATTTATAAAAAGTATGAATCTGGTATCTTAATTTTCTGCTAAGACTATGAGAAATAAAACTTTATACACAAATTTGTATCAGTAATATAAAGCAGAAAAAATACCTCAAACACCATGTGTTCCACCTGCACAGCTTGCTGGTTTCAACACTCAACACTGGTTTCAACACTGATGAGCCAACAAATAAATATTCCTCCTTGCACAGCTTTGAACAAGTAAAGAGAAAAAATGTAGATGTTGTGGTCATCAAAAAAATAACCCAAAAGGAAACTAAACCAAAACAAGGAAACCCAACTCTGAGAGAGGAATGAAATACTCAAATTACACAGGAAATGTGAAAATTAAGTTTCTAATGTGTTTTTTCATTTGTGTGCTCAGTCTAAACAGATTTGATCTTGCACGTCATGGGCTCTTCATAGGTTGCAATAAACTTACTTATGCTCTGTAAAAGCATAGAGTGGGTTCAGCAAAGATATTTTCTCAGCACACCTCTCTCTAGAGAGAGGCCAAAGGACTCTGGGTTGAAAAAAACAGCCCTAATGTGTTTTTAGATGGCTGTATTTCTCAAGTATTGATTTTTGTGTTTGTCTCTTTCTCGTTTTTCTTCCAAAAAGCAATAGTATCTATTAGATCAGTCCTTAATTTTAACTTTTAGTGCAATTCATTTTCAAGAAGTTTTGCTAATTAAGGTATTCAAACTGCTTGCATAATTTGCAACCAAAAAAATAAGCAAGGCTTATACATTTGAGAAAACAATCTTAGTTGTGGTTGCAGTGCTAATTAAAATAGTTCTCTAAGCCATTTAATTTTACACACATGGAGCTCTGGTGTAAATGATCACCTTGGCAGGAGAGCCTATTCATTGCCTGCTCACAAACCGCAGAAAGGCCCCATGGGACAATGATAAGGAAATATTTCTGCTTTAGCCTATTCCAAGAAACTTTCTGCTTTAGGGCTTGTTCCACCTGAAATCCTTCTTCACTGAAGCACTGTAGATGTGGAAGGCTGTGGAAGGACAGAGCTAAAAGCTTGGCCAGTGCACAGTTTGTGTCAGACTTCTGGCCCTGCAGCCCAAATTCTATCCAGAAATAAAACCTTCAATCAGAGACTCTGCATGCATAGAGTTTGTGGAACTCAGGAACAAAAACCAAAAACCAACCCAACTAACCAAACAAGAAAGGACTTAAAAAGCATATTTTACAAATACTTATCCATTCACTTATCCATCACTTGTGAATTTTAAATTTTATTTCCCCTAGAAGCATCTGGGACAGCTAAAATACTTGAATGGAGGAATGGATTTGGTCTAAAATATGCATCCAAGTGTAACAAACTGCAAAATGTTCTAGTCACTCATGTATATAAAAATCATTCAAAAGTAAAGGTGCAGAAATGTATTTCTTTCCAATTTCTTATTTCATTTTGCAGCTTCTGGCAAGAAAGCTTTTCTGTAGCAGTTTTTCATTCTGCTTTCAAGGCTTTCTCCCTTAGGAGTCCTTCTGCAAAGCCTGGAGAGGAAATGGACATTAAGGACAATGCTCATGAGATGGTTCCCACTGAAGACATGGACTATGGATCAAATGCTTCTTTCAGCTGTTACCACTCCTTGGAGACCTTTCAGTCCAGCTGGTAGGCAAGTGCAAAGAAGTTATTGCAAGTGGCAAACACAGGAGCCACTAATTAGGGGTCTGGGTGTTTTCTTAGGGCCAGCACTCCCAAACAAGTCTTTATTAAAGAACCCTGTGGTATTCCCCCACCAAAATCTCTTTGGAAATGCCACAGGAAGACATCATGGAACCCTTTACTTGCAAATGTTTCTCAACTTGACTGGCTCTAAGAGTATCAAAATTATAAACACAATTCAGTCTTCTTTAAACCTAAAGAAGGATTTGTCATAATTATTTTTTAAAGTGTAATACCAGGTATTTTAAACAGAAGACATCTGGTAATAGCAGAAACTCACACTTCCTCAAAATTGTGTCAGAGCCTGGAAAGGATGAAGAAGCTCTGCAACAGACATAAGACATGCCACAGTGCAAGAGCTTAGCAGAAGAATGTCTGCAAATAACAGAAGAAACTGTCTTTGTAAATTTAGTTTCAGGAACACACTAAAAATGAGACACTGCAAATAAAGAAGAAATACTAAGATGAATTTGTATCCCTTTTACAAAAATGTTATATAAGATTCAAATACATTCACTATTAGAGGTGGCAGTGTAACTTCAGAAAAAAATTCCTATAAAGATTGTGGGCTGACTTATGACTGCACTCCAATAAATTATCCTTAACATGTGGACGCACGGGCAGAATTCTGAATGATTAAAATGCAGAGAGTCAAGCTTTACTGCAAACAGCACCAGAGGCATGTGTGCCAGGTGCCTGGAATGCCTGTGTGCATAATGCTCCTCACGCCCAGCTCCACAGTCACCTCCAGCTGCTCCAAGGGCACAGCACTGCCAGGGGCTCCCCTCACCCTCACCATCCTCTCTGTGCTCTCACTTTGCTGCCTCCACCGACTTCACGGCAAGCTGTAGCTGATCCAAATTAAAATTACATGGACTTTTACTTCATTCTCCAAATCAAAATGCAAAGGAGCAGGCAGAACCATGAAGCCAGCAAAGCAGAGGTTTGTCACTTTCTGAGGCACTGCTGTCCTAGATTGATATGAGCTGGCTTTGAAAGGGCACCCTAAGAGGTTGTATAGTTCCTACAAAAATTGCCCGGTTCTGGCAAGTGACTCTGTTTTCCAGAAATATATTTCACTTTACAAGAGTAAAGATAAATTCAAATACCAAATCTCTCTGTATAGCTGAAACTAATTATACTCAAACATACAAAATACTTATGCTAATACAATGAACTACAATCCAACCTCAACTACAGTGGATAAATACCAATGCTAGCTTGGAGCTGTCTATTATACTCCAAAGTGCTCAAAACTCCAAGAGTGAAGATGCATTTTTCTACTTCACTATTTCAGGCATTCCAGTTAACTTAGATGGACTTAGGTAATGCTTGTTTGAGGAGAAATTCCAGGACATTTAGCATTCAAATTAAGTTGTTTTTCTAATTATGAGTTTTCTGATAGTTATTACCAAATAATAAGAATAATTTAACATCTATTCAATGGTTAAGAAACTTTTCTTGATTTCACTGGGAATAGCACTTCTCATCGAATCCCATATCCTCCTCAAAAAGCATTTGTTTTCCCACATGTCCCATCTTATTATTGTATGTATTATTCCTTGACAAATCCAGGTTCATTAAATCAAAGCCATTCAGCCACAAGAAAGCAGAGCAAACTGAAAAAACCAGCATTTTAAATGGGATTGAAAGTGATTCCCTCTGTTCAGGCTAATAAGCATGGTACCAAGTAGCAGGGAAATGAAAAGCTGAGAGAGAACAATTTTAAATGAAAGTACATGCCAAGAGTAGTACACAAAGACAGAACAAGCATATCAAGCACCTCAGGAGCAGGCTCATGAGACAGAGGTGGTGTGAGAAGACCTGGGCAATGCATGCACAAACAAACCCTTCTGAGAGCTGCAATATCCCAATTCACCACGAACTCCCCAACGCTCTCACAGTTTGCTGCACGCTGGCACACCAGGCATTGCCAGCCTGGCTGGAGGTGGCCAAGAGAGGCACCCCGGCTGTGCTCAGAGCCCGACAGGCCCATGCCCTGCTGGCTTTCCCTGTGACACACGTGTGGGGTGGCACTGAGAGGTGACACACATGGCTGCACGGCTGCGGTGCTGCAGGAGCTGCATGGGTGGCGTTTGCAATGCCTGCAGCACTGCAGCCGGGGCACAGCCTGGCACAAGGAGCAGGTCTCTGTGCCTTGCTGGGACAGACCCTGAATGTCCTTCCCTGACGGAGCCTGGCTCTGGGAGGTGACTGTCCCGGCCAAGGCAGGGACACCAAGCAGGACCATGCTCTGCCCAAGGACGCCCACAGGGCCTGTGGCACCCCCGTGGGAGCTGCGCTGCTCCAGCTCTCCACAGAGGACACAAAGACAAGCTCAGGGCGTCGGGACCTCCCAGAAACTGAGTGCAGAGCGCTAGCACTGAATTTCAGCCCCTTGGTGTCATCTGGAGGCTGCTTTCCCCTCTTCAGTTCCTCAGAAGAGGTTGAATGAGCAATGTTGCTGGTTCTTGAGAGGTTCCGAGAAACGCTGAATGAGCTTTTGGATTTTTAAACAAGTAACTGAGTAACTTCCATAAATATTATTAAAATATATGTAATTTTCTCTTTGTAACATTAGTTACTTTGAAACATTTGAAACGTAAAACTTTGAAAGAGTTTCCTCTTTGTAACACATTTTTAAATTTCAAGGGAATTAATCATAACACAGACTGCACTGCTCTCAGCAACATTTATCAATATTTTGATTATTTGTCTTATGAAAAAATCTTCGTTAAAGAGATCCCTTTTCTTCATTCAAAGATTATGTTAAAAACAATCCATGCAATGATTTATTCTCTGAATATTTTTAATGGTGGATTATTCCAGAATTACTCCTCCTTTTGTTTGATATTTTTGCAGAATGTAAAGCCTAGATGAGGTTCCCACCAAAATCATTCACTTCACTCCATTGGGATCAGGATTCTTAAAGTATATCTGGAAATATTTGCTAATATAGAAGCTAAAATGTAGTATAGTTCTACTTTTTGAAGCTACTCTTGAGAGAACTGTTCTGCAGCCATCCCATGGCAAGAAAAAGCTTACTTTAATACTGTCATGAGAAGTTAGCACAATCATACTTCATGTTACTATACTAGGAAACGTGATGAGTACAGAATCCTAGAATAAAGATGCATGTCAAACCATAAGGAGGTCAGTCCTCATTAAAATAGCCAAATTAGCAAGTGCAAATAACACCTTTCAATTACCCATAATGGAACGAAGTTGTCTCAGCAAATTTTAAATAGGTCACACCAGTGATTGCCAGATGAAGGTAAAGGACCATTTCATGCCAGTAAGTCACCCATGAAGCAGATACTTGAAATTCTGTACTTGGAAGTGGATACTCAAGTGAATTTGGTGAAAAACAGGTTAGAAATACAGGCACCTATCTCATTCAGCTCGTTTTGAAATTCCAGGCTGTGTATTGGCACAGCACATGATTATTTATATACACACACACTTAGGTTTGATATATAAATATGCTAAATACCAGCCTAAATAGCAAACTGCCTTCTGTTG